GTCTACTTCAAAGCATAAAATGCAGAGACGCACTTCAGCTACGGTCCCATTATCACCACATGAGATCCACTTTTTGATTGCTTTTAGGGAGTATCAGCAAAGTCATTATTCTGTGATTACTACCTTATTATTTACCCACCAAAGTGTCTCTCCAGCACACATCTCCAGATTTCTCCACCTGGGTTTGAGTGGTAGATAAGCGTTTGACTGACAGCTGAAAAATGATGTCATTAGCATCCTCTTAGGTAAACGGAGCAGCGCCGTCAGTCGGTTAGTCGGCAAGAAGGGGGAAGGTAATTTGTTGAGGCTGATGCGTTGTCGATGATGGATGGTGGGGCAGCTCCAGGAGAGAGGAACTGTCTGACTGTCCTGTTTGAGAAGATACTGAGAGAAAGAAAGGTGAAGATTGAGCATAGAGGAGTGTAGCATACAAGTCAGTGTGCTGGATGGCTCATGGGACAGTGTTTAATTACTTTTTTCTCATACTTGTTCTGCTGTCTAACTTTGCTGAGAAGGAGTTAAGAATAATCCCTTGTTGTTCGGAAGCGAGTCCGAGACGGAGTGTAGAAACGGACAGAAAGAAAGGCGGACAAGATGGAACCGACCACTCTTGGAACAGCTCTGACTAGCAACACTGATCCAGAGTGTTGCTAAGATGACACCAATACCAAACTGAACCTAAATTTATCCTGGTCGAGCTCAGCCTGCAAAGTTTGTTTCAACACCGACGTCATCTCGCCTCTACCAAGGTGAGCAACGAGTGCTAGAAAAAAGGATGAGGATAAAATATTCATAATTCCCACCCGCCCTAGTGAGAAAGGACCATGTGTTCATATTAACTCTGATGAATATTCACAGTGCTAATTAGCATGAATGCAGCCACATGGGCCAGCAAAATTGTTTTCCTGCCACAGACATGACTGCAAACAAGGCATATTAGTAAACATTCCCCAGGGACGACTCTAGGAACCCCGGGGTTGGGGTCACTAGAGATCCAGGTTGGGAAGCAGGCTGCAGGTGACATTAGATCTGCTTTAAAAAGCACTGATGATTTCAGAAAACAATTGGAGGGTTTGTTTTGTGTCTAGAAACTGCAGTCTTCATTGTACTCCAAAGTTAAACTAAAATGGAGGTTACCAAAGCTTTTTATGGTCATAGTTTCTTTCATTTGAATTAGATTGTTCCTTCTAGAATCGCTGACAGACCATTTGTAAACTTAATGGAAAAACTAATTTGAGGCTTAATTATCAGATTTCAGGTTTGTGTGTGTGTGAAAATTTGTGATGGGTTTCTCCATGAAGATGTGATTAAAAGTAGTTGACATGAGTGATGAATTTGTCATAGTGTGATTACAGACTGTGTCGCCCCCCAATTTATAAAAACATTTATCACCTCAGAGGGGAGGAGTAAGGGAGGCTGGAGGCTGGACGCTGTTTTTTTCCTGTGAAAATACGACATACAAACTACAGGCAATCACGGACAAGGGCAGATTACAAGACATACTGTATGTGAGGGCACCCTCATATACAGTATGTCTTGGCCTGAGGGAAAGTGTCAGTCCACACCCTCTAGCAATGGTACTTTTTTTCTTGCATTTACATGTTTGCTACATTTATGCTACCAGCAACTTTCTGTTTTTGTTTTTTTGTCAACTGGGGGATTTAAAAACTATTTAATTTTACTGTTTAACCTTTATTTGCCCAGGACTTGTTGTGATACATGATCTGTTTTGCAGGAGAAGCCTGACCACAATAGCAACGCAATAGAGCAGTCACTTAAATACATAAAAATACACATTAGTTCGGTGGTGGCTGTCGCTCAGGAGGTAAAACGGGTCATCTCCTAACCAGCGGGTTGGTGGTTCAATCCTTGGCTTCTCCAGTCCATACACTGAAGTGTCCTTGAGCAAGACACTGAACCCCAGTTGATCCTGGTAATGACACTGGTGTGTGAATGGGTAGTGTGCATCAGTGCATAGAAAAGTGCTATATAAATATAAGACCATTCATTTATAACAGTCATATATAACACAACAAAAAAAGATGCTAAGAGTTATTAAACCCTGATATAAAACAACTGGTAAAATCAGTCTGAGATACCAAATTCTTTCATTTCTCTCTGTGGCTGGAGCAGAAAGCAGAAAACAATTCTTTCCTGTCTCTGTCTGTACACTAGACAGCAGATATGTCTTGTGATCTAACATTATGACTGGAAGAAGTGAAATAGATTTGTAACGATATAGTAAATGGGCTGCACTCGTATAGCGCTTTTCTACCTCGCCAAAGCACTTTGCAGATTCACCCACTCATGCACACACTCACACACCAATGGCGGCGCTGGCCTGACCACCCTGAGCAAGTTGGACGAGTACAATTTTGTCTTGGAGTACAAAAAAAGCACAGGGATGAGTGAACCGTTTTCCTCTGATGACAGCACTGTGATAAATATTTGAAGACATTGTGTTGGTGCATTAATGTATAACAAGTCCTTGTAATCAAGAAGGTGGCAGCAACAAGCCTCCAAAGAAAACCAAGACTTGTGCCTGAAATAAAACTTCAACTTCAGTCTTAGTTTCCTCACAAGGTTTACGTGTTGTGCAAAAGAAATGCATTCAGTTCAATTCCTCCCTTAAGTGAACACGAGATGGATTCACAAGTTGTAACTTGTGCTGAGTCATGGATGTTCTTCATCAGCCTTAATGCCAGTTTGATTTGGGTAACACTGGAGAAGACCTCATGTGCACTGACACAGATGTGTGTTTGAGCTTCGTTAATACATTGGACTGGTTTATACAGGGTCCAGAAGCAGAGATTGAGCCATCTGTAGTGATGTAATAAGACCAATGTCAGAGGAATCTAACTGAATATAACCTTCAAGGCCTATCAGATTTATATTTAAAAAAAAATTTGATTCATTCCTTTTTCTGTACAGCGTCAACACCGGAAAGAGGGGCTCTGAGTACAAACCACTTGCTTTTTAACACAGTGAATATCATGCTGATTCAAGATGATTATCCTCAATCACCTCTGTTGTCTAGAGTTGTTCTGTTTTTTGGTTCTGAGGTCAAGGCTTGTGCTGTTAATGCTTCATTTTCAACAGCTCCAGTCTTCCATTTTTAATGCTCTCATGCTGGCTTAGTCTGAGTAGTGAGAGTCCAGAGGTTAGCAAGCTGATGAGTAATCGCTTGCAGTAAGCACAAATGGCAATAAGAACAGTATTACATAAGACTATGTTTGGGATCTTGGCTCCCTTTGTTTTGGCATTGTTGTTAAGGTTGAGGAACCCAGATGAAACAGGATAGTACTGAACAGGAGAACATGTCTATTATAAGAAAAGTCCATAAAAATCCCTTCCTTTTCTTATACATGTACGTCTCTCGCTATGATAAGGTCAGCATCTTGGGAGGAGGTGTACTTGCAGAGGCTGGAAATACTTGTGCATGATTAAGCATTTGATCTACAAGGCAAGAATTTAAAAAAAAAGAGAGAGAGAGAGAGAAAAATACAGTAGCGCAAAATCAAAGGCCAGAAGGGAAGATGTTCTATTTCTTTCTGTCATCTTGGTGTGATCAGTGAATCAGCATCTGCAGGCCCAGAGGCGGATGCTAACGAGGCTGATGCATAATCAGGGCTGCTTGTCACATCTGCTGTTACACTGTTTGCAGTAACTAGAGTGGCTCTGTTCAACTTAGCCAAAGAAACTTTACAAAGCTCATTTATTTTTTGGTCAAATATCACATAAAGCATCTCAGTAGGATTTGCACATCAGCCCAAGCCGTCTCAGCTGCTGTCAGTTTTGAGAGGAAACCACTGTTGTGTTTCAGCACATCGGGAGTTACGTTTGCACTCAGATCTGTGAGTATGCTGAATATGAGTATGCACAAAAATGAATCCATATTTTGAGTTATTAGTTCTCAGTTTTTAATTATGCAAATCACTTGTAAGAGTGTGAGGTTAAATGGAAGCAGCTGTCATTGAAGATTTCAGCTTGGGAGTCATTTTTCTGGAGGCTCAAGTGTTCGTGCAGAATGATAAGGGCGTTTTAGACTTTGGAGAGAGACTGTGCCTTATTAACTGTGTTAAAACTGGACTATAATTCCATTTCACATCTCATTGACTTCAAGTAGCATTGTGTTTCATCCCTTGGATTTGTTTGGTGGTTTTTGCCACCTTTAGTGTTTGACTTGATCTGCAAGTGAAAGCAAATATGTTGGGATCTCAGGAAGACATAATTTAGTAACCATTCAGTCAATTAATAGCAATTTATACTTTATTGCAGTAGGTATTCTGTATTAGTTGATAATTGACAGAAAATGTGTAAGCTTTTAGATTTTCTCTGAGGCAGAGTGTTCATATTATAAAATTTTAATGATTCTAATTGATTTTCAGCGTCTTGAATGCGTGTTTGTAGCTGTTGTCCTGCATTTCTCTGTCACCACTTGAGGATAATGTGAGTAGACTTTAATTATCTCCTGACAGTAATGTGTATATATGCTGTTAGGATGTGGGCTAATTGATCTAGACATGCACGATGTGTTTTATGTGTTGCTGTAGTGTGCTTTCCTCCGCTGATCACAAAGCCCCCTCGAGTAGGACTGATGAGTTGGAGCACGCCTCTTGTCATGTGTCGGCAGCCATAGACAGATTAATGGTATTAGCTGGCTGGGGTATTAAAAGCAAGTTCGGTCATGCGTGATACTGGGGCTAACAGTTGACCAGTCCCTGTTGAATTATTCTACTTTGCTTTTTCCCTCTTAAGGCTCAGTACACCAGACTGGATTACAAGCTCTGGTTCTGAAAAAATTCATTAATCTTGTTGGGAACGAAACAGGTTTACGTTTCTATGTCCCCCCTGAACCCCAAAACAGAGATGGACTTACTTTTGACTTCCTGACTGTCCTGACTTTGTGGCTAACACACACACACACACACACACGCTATATGTCCATTGCATCTATGATCTCATTCTGCCCTCCTCTGCCTCTCCACTTCGTTCTGCAGGTAATGCAGGTGGTGAGGGAGCAGATCATGCGAGCGCTGACTCTCAAGCCTAATTCCTTGGACCAGTTCAAGAGTCGCCTGCAGAACCTGAGCTACACAGAGATCCTTAAAATACGCCAATCCGAGAGGATGAACCAGGAAGACTTCCAGTCCCGCCCCATTTTGTGAGTAAACCAATCAGTGACAAATATGACTAAATCATAGTGTGACATCCAAAAAAGTACCTGCACCCTCTTGTCAAAGGGTTTTACTGCCAACCACAACATTCTCCTAATTGTATTCATACATACTGTCGGTGTGACAGCTTTGTTTAGAGACGAATAAAAACACTTTGAATACAAGGACAAGATATTTTCTGTAGTATTTGCTCAGTGCTATCCCTCTTTTAATTGCAGTTTTCCTTCTCCTTGTCTAATGCAAAATGAGGACATCATTATTTGCATTTACAAATAAGTGCAGTGGTCATTAATGTACTTGTAATTGCTTCTTTTTTCTTCTTTCCATTTGTCAGCCAAATGCCAGCCACTGGTCTAAAGCAGGTTGCACCTGTTCTTTCTTTCCCTTATTGAAAATATCTATTAAATTCAAATTGTCTGCAAATGGCAGTCGCTGCGAATACTCCATTAACAACCCTCCAGCTCATTAAGCATTGAGAGTTAGTCTGTAATAGATCATTCATTGACTGATCATGGATGTAGGCCCTGTAATGAAGAACACCGTTTTGTCCTGCCTGTGTATAATGGAGTAGCAAGCACTACTGAAAAATCATTTTACAGAGAGAACTTTTCACCTTGAACAGTAATCAATGCTGAGCCAGGGCTTATTAAATCGATATGGGAGGGTAGAGACCAAACTTCAGCAACCAGTTAATCCTAATGGAGAAAGCAGAGCAAAAGCCAATGAAGCAGCAAAAAATATTCCTTAAAACACTAACATTTTTTAAACAACTAAAGATAATTTAATTTTTAATTCATAGATCTAGTGATCTTAGGTTAGGTTAGTTTACTTTATGTGTACCCATAGTTAGATTTGTTTTGCAGCAAGATAACACACAAAACATATATGACATAAGAAAAAAAACAATATAATATGATAAAAGTACTTGAGGCTCCACCAATCAGAACACAAATGAGGGGGAGAAATATCAGTAACAATCACTCACAATTAACAAAATAAGTAACAAATATTCCTACAACCTATTAATCTCAGTGATAGCAGCTGGACAGAGCTGTTTGTAAAGCTTTGTTTACACCTTGGAACTAAAAACCTTTGTCCAGAGGAGAGAAGCTGAAATTCCCTGTGTAAAGATGGGAGGTATTTTAAAAGTATTTTTGGAGTTTGGAGATCTTATTCACATTTAGAGTTCGTTGGATTACAGACACTTTTATGGACACTTGTGTATAACACAATTAATTTCAATAACTAAGAAAAATAAATGTATAGCCACATGCAACAAATTCAGGCTGTTAAACAGCAGTCTGGGGGTAATCAATATGGTGCTCTCATAACTAGTAAACCCACTGAGCTGTACACATCAAACTCCAAACTTAACACAACTCTGTAATACCTGCTGCAGTTTCTACAGATTTCCTGCTATCAATCATAGTAGAGACTGACCTTAGAGGTCAAAAGAAGGTGAAGAGGAGCCATTATAACTTCAGATCAAAGCTGTCTCTCTTGTCAGACATCTCAGCTGAGGGATTTTTTTATGTCATTCTGACTTTTGTTTCTAGAATTTGAAGGTATTTTATTATAACTATTTTTTTGCGATGTATGATTTTTTTTTTTTTTTATCAAAAGTTGCTTGCACAAACCATCTAAAATCAGCATCACATATTTGTGCAGCACATTTGTCAGCTCAGAATTACTTCTAATGCAGCCTCCAGAAAACTGGGACGTAAAGCAGTTTAGCTTAATTTATTTTTGATTCTCCTTTCCCTCTGTGCTTGGCGATATTCCACTGATATACTGTGGATGTACTGTACATTTCTACAAGGTTTGAACACCTGATATCATCCAGAGTAATTCCTTTATAGAGGCCTATCAGTGCAACACATCAGCCCTTTAATTCAGTTGTTTATGATTTTCTGCATTTGCTGGAAAGAATTGGTTTAAAGTGAAACTGAAACGACCCCATAAGAAGACAGAGCAGCCAAACCATTTAAAACTCTCAGACAAAAACAGTCTCACCTGTGTCTAGCTCAATCAGAAGGATGGAGGCAGTAAGGCTGAGCCATCATCAACCATCCTTTCTCAGATAAACCCCACTGTTCCCTGCTGTTTCTTTAAAGATGTCAGAGTGTATGTCCACAGATCAATGAAATGACTGGAGTCACTGATGAGGCAGACAGGGAGGGCAAGCGGGGAGACAGATGAAAGGAGACAAGAGCAAGTGTTCCCAAAGGAGAAGAGGAGGACAAAAAAAGGACAGGAGCATCAATGAGGGGAAATACAAGAGACTGTTAGAAATGCATAGCCTTTGTGTTTTTACAAAACCTGAAATCCTGCCAACATTTCCATATTTCTAGAATTGAAAAAGAATGAGAAGGAAATTGGAAGAGAAGGGCCTCAAGTATAATTATGAGTAATAGATGTGGAGCAGCAGCACTTCTCTGGCAAACGTATACAGTACAAAATTCATGTTGACTAGCACTGTGTGCTTTGCATTGTACTGTAGACGCATGAATAACTGTCAGCAATTCAAGCAGGACAGATTTCCAGTGATCAACTGTCCTTCTGGGATATGGTGTGACATATGTCTGAGTATAGCACAATAGTGTGGAGGTATATACTGTATCTCTCTGTTTCTTATTCTCTGTTCCCTCCTGACAGTCATAATCCAGGGGATTTTGTCAGTCAGATGAATATTGCGCACTGCCAGATAGCCTGGGGAAATATAACACAATTCACTTCAGGGTCTTGGAGTATCTTGAAGCTTGCTGTCACCTGCTTGCCACACTGGATGGGTGTGGTCTACAGCAGTGTTAACCTCGACAGCTAAATGTGATTTAGTTTTAGCCTTTTGACAAAAATGCAAATTAGTTATACAGTAGTCGATTTTTGTTGTTAGTTTAGGCTTTTGTCATTTTTACCCTGCATTTTTAATGTTTGTCTTTTCTCAGCATTTTCATGCTACAGCCAACTATGTTGTGTATGGTTACCTTGGTTGCAGTTGAAAAGGCTGTTTATTTGTTCACACATTGTCTGTGTCCTCTGTTCTGCACAGCAGAAAGTGATTTAGAAGATTTGAGCTAAAATCCTGTTCATTAGTGTTGAGAGGAGAAGCTAAAAAAAAGGCAGATTAATCTACATCTGCAGCACTTCACGACAAAGTATCCTAGCTTTTCATTAATATGGGCACGGTGCCTGCATTTTCCTGGTTTGTCTCTGCCTCTTTTGGCATTGTCTTGTGTAATTCTAACTGGAATGTAGATTAATTTAGTTCATAAACCCTTTTCTTCCGAGAAGTGGTAACATCAGATGACAGAACGTTACTGAATGTAAGATGCTTCTAATTTACTGTAGTGCAGCATATCAAGTGGCTAAATTAACCTCGGAGCATATTTTAGGCGGCCCTAAGAAACTTTTACTTATCAAGATCTACACTTTGTGATTCTAAAGCAGGTCATTGAATAAGTTTTAAGATGGTAATTACTTCATGTCCATTCATTTGTCTTTCACATTATCATTTCATTTTTATTCTTTGATGAAAAATGTGAAACATTTTATCATGGTTTTCTTTAGCAAATGCCACTTTTTATTTAGCATGTTGCATTTTCATTATAAAAAATAGCTAATCACCTATTTATTTCTTTATTTTTCCCACAGGGAGCTGCGAGAGAAGATCCAGCCAGAGATCATGGAGCTAATAAAGCAGCAGAGGCTCAACAGGTTGTGTGAGGGAACGTGCTTCAGGAAAATCAGTAGTCGCAGGAGGCAAGGTGAGACGCTCATACAGTATGCACATGGACCTGATGTTACACTGCCTTCACCCACAGATTATAACCACATAGTGAAATTCACCTTTATTTGAAAGATCCTAGATGCTGTGAATCTGCTGTCATAATTGCTCACATAGGCATATAGTGACTCTCTTATTGAAAAACCCACAGAAAAGTGATACATGTCTCTGTCGTCTCTGCTTTCACCCCCGTCTAAATGCAGATATACAGTATAGCATGCAGAGAAGCATGACATAAAGCAAAACAAGGATAAACACACTTTTTTACTTTGCACTTATCAACACAACTTCTAGTGGAGGCTTTGAGAAAAGACATGAAAGAATGACAAAAGAGCAGGAACCTCAGGCCTTAGAGTGGCAAGGCTGCTGTAGGAAATGATAGCGCAGTATTTCTTCTGCTGAGACATAACACATATTTTGTAGCCACACATTCAGTATGTCTGTTTTGTCTGTGGTGCCCTGCTTCGCTGGGTTTTTTGAGATGCAAAGATTCACATACAGTCCTTTCATTAGACTTCATTTGATAGAAGTACTGATGAATTCCTCAGTGATACATAGGGGTGAGAGGAAGAAGGATGCAAAGGAAAAACCAGAGAGGAACATATTCATATCAATCAGCCTAATATTATGTTTCACACTGACTGCATTGAGAGAGAGAACGTGAGAGAAGAGGAGTGAAACAGTGGAGGGGGAGGTAGCGGCGGTGTCATTTCGCCTGTATTGTGCATTGCTCCTCAGTTGGGGGGTGGTAGCTAGTACTGCATTACTGTCATCAGGACCTGTACTTTCCCATGAGTCAAATCAAATTGAGTAGAACCTCCTTCCTCCTTTCACCAATGTATTCTGGCATTCTAAAATCTGATCACAACTATTCTTAACAGCTGTCATCCAGATGTTCAAAGCTGGACCACGGAAACCAGTAAACTGAAAACAAACATAGAAGTGAAGAAAAAGGATGGTAGGACAGATGTTCAGGTGGAAGGCGTTACCTAAACTGAGTGTGTGATTGTTTTTGCTTTTTGTGGTTGGCTAATTTATGCTCATCAAGCTTGTGCTCAGCAACATGCCATGAATGGACTCGTACTGTATGACCATATTATTTCTTACTAGACCCTAGCTAAAATGTCAAATGAATGGAGGATATATGCATGCAGCCACACACATACCAAAACACAGAAACAAAACCATTAGCCCTTCAGAAACAGTACGCCCACTCACAGTATCTAAAGTAATGGAGTTCATGAGGCTCACTGGATTTAATTTTGCACAGTAGCCTGTAGGGTTACACTGGCTTTAATGTGCTGCAACAGCACACTGTCTTTAGGCTAGTCGCTAACTGTAGCAGTCTTTACTTCTGAGGACACTTGAAGGAGTCACGGACATGCTGTTTCTCCACAATACTCCTGCAGCTCCTTCCCTACAGTATCTGCCACTCTTCGTTCTCATACTGGTACGAACAGTATATACTATACATGCAATGTGAAGATAACTTTGTCTGCAGCCTTTAGGCATTATAAACAAGATTTTAAAAAGGCCCTGCAGCAAGTTTAATTTTCACTTAGTGCTCACATGGGATGAGATGTTAAATCAAGATGGGGGGGGGGTTGCATGCATAATGTTAAACTTTATTAGTTTATATTTTTCTGTCATCTGTACTTTCCTCAGACAAACTTTAACACTTTTTATGCTTGCATAATGTATATTAACTCTTTGTCTATTGTTATGTATCTTTTTGCATACACCCTCCTCTCTGCCTTTCTCCTTCCCCCAATCTTCTCTCATGACTATTTTAAAGTCCTCCAGCCTGCAGGGATTCAAGTACCTACATCAAATATTCATTTAGCTGGCTTCAGTGTAGATGACTCCTCTTTCTACCTTCCCGAGTGCCAGTTTGACCATTACAAGGTGATGTTTCGCTGTAAAAGCTCAGGCTGATGGTGTTGTGAAAGTTTGGAAGAAAGAGTGCTCCCTGTAGTTGTTTTAAGTGCAGGATGCTGGCAGGTAAAAGCCCTTGGAGCTCAGGGGAAGTGTGTTTTTTGTAAATGCTGCACTAAATCAAAAGTAAACTTTTGTTATTTAAATTGATTCTGTTGAATCAAATCAAGAGTGTTACAGTATGAAATGATTCGACAATGATATTAAATCCACAATAGAGATGCAGCATCTTCCGGCCAAAGGGAAAACGTACGTACTTGTACAGTATATAGACACGCCGTCAGTTAGGATGAGCAGTTGATTGCAATCCCTCCCTCCTCACAGCTATCATACACATCTCCCAAGGCCTAGTGCCACTCTTCACCAGCCTGCCACCACCAACTGTCTATTTTCAGCAATTAGGATTTGGACGGTGCCACCCGTGCGCACGCCAGCCAAGCCTCCCCAGTCTGTGTCCCGTCTCTGCCAGCTCAGCTCGGTGTCCGCCTTGGCAGGAAACCTCGAAAGAACACCACCGGGCTGGCTGCCGAGGCTGCGGTGGAGGCGGTGACGCAACTGTTAGATGCAGACCTCCACTGCTACAGTCATCAAGAGAAAAACACTCGGCGCGATCGAAAATTGTCTATTAAATAGGGTGGTGATTATGCGTCACCTTTAACCAGACATGGTCATTACAGTGGTGGTATCACATTTTAACAGGTAAACCTGGACTTAGACTTGAATAAAAATCATCACGAAAAATGTTTAGTTGCATTTTGATCATGGAAAAGGATATGTCTTGGGCCATACCACTATGCAAAATAATTACAACTAGTCATGGTACTAGTCCATTTTACCACAAAACTGCTTTTCATTTCAGGCCAAAGGCACAAAAGGCCATGGCCTCCTGTGTAGTATAACACCTTTTTCCTAATATTTTTTCCTAATACTGTTCCCCTTTTGTGCATTTCACTGTACATTTTAAGAGCCACAGTATAAAAACACTTGGGTTGTTTGACTACCTTGTAAACAGCTCTTACTAGCTTTATGCAGAACAGCTTGGCCAACAGTGAAGACTAAAAACAATAAAAATGAAAAAATGAAGAAAAACAAATGAAAAACAATCAAACAAGATGACAACTCTGCACCAGGTGATGCCCCTTTAATTTAGGGCTCTTGGCAGCTAGTGCCAGTACTTTTTATATTAACCATCATATACGACTGTTGACGATGATCTAGACATCCGTCATGTGCACCGGAATATCTACTGTTTTATGAATTCTTAGACAAATATTTTAAGGTAACAGTAGAAAACACTCCTAAACACTTTGAAAGACCAAATTAGCGTTTTGAGCAGGTTTCCATCTACACTCCACTTGGCTTCAGGAATTTGACCATGAAAATGGTAAAAGAGTTCAAATGTACTCCTGGGTCCAAACCCTATGATGGCCTCTCCTAAAGGTGAGAAATACCAATGTATTAATCAAGCTTTAAAACATTTAAATACATTTTGTTATTAAAATTAAAAATAATAAATAAAATGCATTCAAACACATTTATCTGTGTGAAGCTTTCTAAAAGATGAGACATGCAGTACCACTGTACAAACAACAAATGGTAAAGAACAGGCCTCAAACTTTCTCAGTTAGTCACAGCAGGTCACAGTTAAGGTTGAACTGAGTGCCTGTTGTCGAAATGATAAAAACCAACTCTGTTTTGTTGTCAATCGAAATCCCTCCCTGCATGTGGATTTTCCTCAAGGCAGTTTTTTTTTTTTTGGTCAGATTCTTTTGCCATTCAAATTTTCTCTCCTGTCGATGACTCATGGAGTCCCATATGATGCTTTGTGCCAGCCACTGACTTATTTCATTAATTTGCTAAATCTGTCTCTTCTTCTCCTCTGTGATGTTTTCTCTCTATTGTTTCTCATAGATAAGTTTTGGTATTGCCGTCTATCGCCAAATCATAAAGTCCTCCACTATGGAGATCTGGAGGAGTGCCCTCAGGGCGAGGTGCCCCATGATTCTTTACAGGACAAATGTGAGTGTCTGAAACTGCTGATAGTCTTCACCCACTATTATGACACAGTATATATTCTTATTGTGCTTATTATCACTTGCAGCTCTTAATATTTATTCCAGTATATATTGTCTACAAGACTACTGTTTGTCTATATTGAAGGCAAACATGGCCCCAAAACACAGTCCTGACAGTGGAAAAACAACTGTAACTGACAGCAGCTGTTGGCTTGAAGAGTCAGTGTTAGCACAAGTTTCACTTATAATTCTTGTAGAGTGACAAATCTGGGGAGGATTTTAAGTTTTAATCATTTGGATAAACCAGCCACCCATCTGGGATGACACATTTGTCACAGAGATGTTGTTGATGTTGTAATTGCTGCTGCTGCTGCAGCGAACTCACTTCTGTCCTTTTTACAGTGCCTGTGGCTGATATCAAAGCTGTTATAACCGGCAAAGACTGTCCTCACATGAAGGAAAAGGGAGCCCTGAAGCTAAACAAGGTGCGTGTTTCCTCACACACGTGTACACATGCGTTCATTTGAGTGGGAGGGTGTGTATCCAAGCGGGAGAATTTCTGTGTGAGAGTTGCATAACATGATTACATAATTTTGCTCTGAGAACTAATGCAAAAACTTGCATCTCAGTGCTTGGCACGGAGAGACGTGTCCATCAATGGGGTTATGTAGAAATACATCACAGACTATTCCTTTAGCTGCAAACACAAGTCACTCCAGAGCCACCAGAAACATACTGACATGTTGTTCTTGGTGTTTAAATTGGAGAGTAACAATTGGCATGGTGTCTGCGGTGCCTTAACCAGGATGAGAGCCATCTTGTCTGTGCCTGTGTACACATCGGCCCTTCTTCTCCCGCACTTTGCCTTTGCAAACCTTCACACCCCACCCATGGGACTCTGATATATTGGCTCTAGGATAAGCCTTGGAGACAAAGACAAAGGAGCACAGCTCCTTCCTAATTTTTCTCTTTTATTATCATGTCGATAAGCGCAGGAGAATGACCTGAAGAAGGGGGAAGGGAACTCAGAGGCCCATCTAGCAGGCATGTTCCATTATGAATGAGAACACTTTCCTATTTGATTATTCACTGTTACATGGCCAAACAAAGTCACCTTTTGTAGGTTTAGAGCAGAAATGGCATGTGGACCATTTGTGGGACACGGTGGCAAGTATTGTTTTCAGATTGTCTCCCATTTTCTACTAGATGTATTCATCACATGCTATTTTTTTGATAATTTTAATTCTAATATATTTTTGTAATTATTCCGTTCACAAATATCTCCCGTAAATTTGGATTTACCTTATTGCAGACACGTTCTGTGCCTCAAGACGTGGTTAATTCGAACACAGGTACGCAGACGCGGAGGAGCCGTTTGCCTGTCAGCTGTACTACACTTTGCATCCCATTACTGAAGCAAACCTTTTTGCTCTATGTGCATTTTAAAGGGCAGATTAAACTGAAGACTGGGGGATATACAGCATAATAAGCATGGATGATTGCACGCATTTATGAACGTTCATGCAATTTTTGATGTGTCTGGAAAATCCTTTGCTTGTAAGGGGCAGGTGCAGAATTGTGCACCTACAGTATACTAAAATAAGGCTCTTTGGGGGAAAGAGAAATTTAATTAACCAGTGTTTCACTGAAACTAAATGATAGCAGACACAGTTCCACCAAGAGGGGGCTGCATTTAATTAGAGCAAAAAAAAAAACAATGGTTAAAAGAGAGCAGAGTTGTTTTGTGGTTCTAAATATGGGCTGTTAGTGCACTGTGGGGATTATATATATTTTAATTACAAAAGTATGTTTGGTTGTAGTTAGCTTGCCCTTCTGCCTACAATCACAGGTACAGCACCCTGTGCATACACAAATCATAGCCCATAATATAATGAATGCCTACTTAGAAACAGAAGTAAAGAAAAAGCCCAGTGGTCAGGGTTCGCTTTAGACCATGACTATATTGTGTGTGGATTGTGATGTTAGTTTAATATTTTTTGATTTTTGTTTGGACAAATCAGCCATCACATAAGTTTTGAAGGGAACATATTTGATTATTGGATGTGTTTGTTTTCTTTAACCACCCTCCCAGTTTTCTATTTTATAGCATATTTCTTCAGTCACCATGTCTTCTAAAGCATTTCTATGCACTTTTTTTTTGTTTGTTTGTTTGTTTTAGTTTTTTTAGGGAACCTAACACACTAAACTGACATGGCTACTATAGTAAACCCAGGGTTTTCAACCAGTGGTCCATGGCCCCCTGGTGGTCTGTGAAGTCATAGCAGGTGGTCCCTGACCATGCATTCGATAATGTGGTTTCACTATCGAAATCGCACTTTCATAAAATCTTTATTTTTAAACACATTTCCATGTATAAATTAATGTTTGTGAAAAATCTAATTCATTCAAATATATGAAATTTATAAAAGCCAAGGTGACTTTCAGGATCAAAATTGTGCCCATCAGGTCTATCCACCCCACAGTAGTGGTTTACCCAACATCAGCATGTTAGCAGGCAGGTGTTAGGATTTAGCTCAAAGCAGTGTTGCGCCAAAGTACAGCCTACAGAGCCAGTAGCATACTGTAGAGCCTTCTTTATTTTGTGTCTTTTAAGATTTTTCTGTATTCATAAATTAGCCTAAAAAACTCTGCATTAGTTACTAGCTTTTTGGTAAATAAAGAGCAGATGTAAATTAACAGATAGATGTTTTGAGAATAGAATTTTGGATGATGTAAATTATTACTTCAGTAGTAAGAACTTCAGTTTCAGCATCACTGAATCTTCTCTGAGTCTCCTGATCTGACACAAGTTCCACCACTGAACCGAATCTTTTAAGCTCTCCCTCACAAAAGGCTGCAGATTGTGTAATTTCTTGCTGCCTTACTAAATCAGATGCTACAGTAATTGCACCCAGAATATAAGCACACACTTAATGAATTGCTTTCATGTATACAAATTTGGTTGTCTGTGTCACACTGCATTCAGTTTATTTGCTGCAGTAGACCATAGTGGGTTGTTAGGATATACCTGAAATCATAACACATCATATTCCCAGTACCCCCAGGCATTTTTCAATCTCTCTTTTCTGAAGGCGTCCCAGGCACTTCTCTTCTCTCTCGCTGATAGCTGGTGAGTCGATGTGCAGCTGTGTAACAGATGGTGACTAGATGTGAAGAGAGGTAGACTGCACTGGTATGGCAGCATTGTGGTGTAAATCTCACCTGTTATTTCTTCTTTTTTCCTTGTACCCTATTTTCTTTTACCCCTCCATCCCATCTCCACCACTCTGTCACTGCCGGCTCTCTTTGCACGGTTTTCTCGTTCTCCCTGCTCCCCCTCCAACCTTTCATTCTGTCCTTTCTCCAGGAGGTGTTAGAGCTGGCCTTCTCTGTCCTCTATGAGTCCGATGAGTATTTAAACTTTATTGCTCCTGACAGGCATGAGGTAAGCACTGTCTGGGCCTGCGGCTTCCCAAACAACTGTTCATCACACAAGCAAGTTTTTCTTTAGTATACAAGTATATGCAAGTGTTGAAGTTACACATGTACTGAAATTAAGGGGTTCATTTGACACATACTATATGCAGTGGATTAAATGTGTGTCTGCCCGCCCCCCCTTTTTCTTTTGTATTATTTGTCCATTTTTTATTACACAGTGTGCATGTGCAAATATTGCCAAAACATACATTAATGAAATAGCAATAAAATAAGACTAGATGGAAATAAGAACAGGAAAATAATTATGAAAGTTAACTATGACATTTAAAATCAGAGCTGTCACACTTGAAACTTGATTCTCTCTAATAAACCCATACACCAACATAAAATCTTAGTCATGTTAATGCCAGAAACTTTGATACGAGAAATGCTGAGATTGGTCATGCCATCGTGGCTGTACAGCAACATTAATATGACTGGACATTACTAGTTTCATCCCATTACAGTATATAGACTGACTTGCACATAGAAATACAGTCAGGGAAAAAACTATTTGAACCCCAGCTGATTTTGTAAGTTTGCCCACTAACAAAGAAATGATCAGTCTACAATTTCAATGGTAGGTTTATGTGAACAGTGAGAGACACAACAATAAGGAAAAAATCCAGAAAAATGCATTACAAAAAAAGTTATAAAGTAATTTTCATGAATGAAATAAGTATTTGATCCCCTATCAGTCAGCAAGATCTCTGGCTCCCAGGTGTGTTTTATACAGGTAACGAGCTGACATTGGGAGCCCTCTCAGCTTGTTACCTGTATAAAAGAGACCTGTCCACAGAAGCAATCGATCAATCAGTCCAGATTCCAAACTCTTCACCATGGCCAGGACCAAAGAGCTTTCCACACCTGATGAATTAGCCAATGATTGTAAAGCATGAACGAAGCAGCTGATGCAACTTAATTAGCTAATGCAACTGGAACCTCAGGGCTCTGCCTGAACTAAATACTAATGTGCTTTAAATAAAATGGAGGTAGAAAAGGTTTGTACACACCCTGAGTGTGTAGGGTCTTATATAGACAGGTGTGTGGCTTTCCTAATCACGTCCAGTCAGTATAATCAAACACAGCTGGACTCAAATGAAGGTGTAGAACCATCTCAGGGATGATCAGACAAAATGGACAGCACCTAAGTTAAATATATGAGTGTCACAGCAAAGGGTCTGAATACTTATGACCATGTGATATTTCAGTTTTTCTTTTTTAATAAATCTGCAAAAATGTCAAACATTCTGTGTTTTTCTGTCAATATGGGGTGCTGTGTGTACATTAATAAGGAAAAAATGAACTTAAATGATTTTAGCATATGGCTGCAATATAACAAAGAGTGAAAAATTTAAGGGGGTCTGAATACTTTCCGTACCCACTGTATATCATTCCGCTCAATTCTACAGTACTTGCAACTGGAATGGACTTTACTATGATTGGTCCTCAAGCACTTGAGACTTGCATGCTTGGACTGAAACCAGTTCTTTTTATGACCACAATTATTTTGATTGATTTGATTTGATTTATTCATTCAAGCATGTAAAACAGTTGATATGTCAACACATGTAATTTCACACATATCCAACAATAATAATCCAATATTAATTTGCTTATACCTAGTACATGCTTGAACGGAGTAGGAAGAAGTTAGACTTATCCAGTCCTACCCCATGACATCATCTTACAACTTTTAAGTCCTAAGCAATATCTCTACATAAATAATTATCTTCTACACCACACAAGTAATACACTAAAGAATTATTACAAAGTGTTAACATTCATACACCACACCCACAATGTTCCATCTAATTAATCATTAAGCCTGTTCTTGCATATATCTTGATTGACACATACCTTTATATTTATGTTTAAACTCATCAATTCTATTACTATTTTTTATGTCCACATTTAAATT